CAGGGTTTTGTTCTATGTTACGTAATAAACATCTAGTCAACTGATCCCTTGGTTTGGTTATTTAACCCATAATCCCCACCCGACAACATAAATTTGAAAATAAGTATTAAATTTCTTATTGAATTGACAGATTCTAGCAGTTGTCATCACTCCTTTTCTGTTTGATTTTGAAAAACTGTTGATGAAATCTTGAAAATCTCTCGTGTAGTCTTCGTTTAAAACACGATTTACGCACTTTACAAAGCAGTATCCATCGCTCGGTATATAACAATTTATACCGCTATATTCATTGATCTTTTTGAGTAGGGTAACACCACTACCCTTTTTTGATCTTTTGATTTTTCCTGAGAAATACCAATCAGAAGCATCCGATTTTACATCCACCGTTGCGAAGAAATTGTGAAAAGTTTTGGCATTAAAGCCTACAAATTGCATGTATTGTTTGTGTTCTCCGTCTTGAATGATCTCTCCATCTAATTCAATTTGTCCTTTAAATGTATCAAATTTATCAGAGATAAGGTTAATAATACTGAAAAAAGTTCATTCGATATGAATGTTTCATCGTCTAAAATTTCAATTTTATTCATATTTTTTAAGCAACTATTTTTAACTAGGAATTTTTAACTTTTATTGATGATAGTTTATCTAAAATTTCATTGAATTTTTCTAATTCTTCAATGGTTATGTTTTTATCTTCTCTGGATCTTTCGAAAAAAATGAATAATTTATTAAGATATGTATTTAAAATTTCTGTTTTCTTTTTATAATGAGCTTTCTGTTTTGATGTAAAACCTAAAGTAATCAATCCACAAGATGAAGTTTGAACGGCAGTGAACGTGGCTAATACAGTTGGGACAATTATTGGAAGCATTAATCCACCGGTTACGGCTGTTGCCACCGTTACCCCTACCGTTAGAACTGTACTTAATGTTTCGAAAACAGAATCAATTCTACTCCATGTTTTTCTACATTTGTTGAAGTGTTTTAATTTTTATTTTAGATCGTTTTGTTTTTCTATCATGTAGTTTTGTCTGCTTTCGAGTTCCATTTTTTTAGGTAATTAAATTAAGTGATAATACCATCTGGAACAGAATATACTCTTATATTTGCTGTAAATCCATATTTTTTCAATTCATAATCTTTTGATTTATCAATATTATCAGTAATAGAAGCATGATTATAATTCATCTTTCTAAATGGAAGATTGAAATAATATGATTTATTTTCTTCCCTCAGATACTTTTTTTCTAATGCGACTATATTTTTGTCCTGTTTTAAAACTAGGTTATTAATAGTGGTTATCTGTTGTTAAATAACACTATCATCAATGTTCTGTATTTGTTGTTGAATATAGGTTTTGATTTCGCTATCATCTATATGTTGTATTTGATGTTGAATATAGGTTTTGATTTCGCTATCATCTATGTTTTGTATTTGTTGTTTAATATTTCTTAGTTCTTTTTGTAATTCACTGTCAAGTTTAGTTTCCAGAGCATTTAATTCCTGTTGAAACGTGTATTCATTTTCATCTGGAATGTTATCTATTAATTGTTGAATGTCTTGTTTTGAAATCTTATCCTCTAATTTAGATATTAATGAAATCAAATTTTGTAACTCAGTTTTGTTCACTACGTTGACCAATTCTTTTTGAATAAAACTTATTAAACCTTTTACCTCTTGTTGTAGTTTAGTATCATTAACAAAATTTTTATTATTTAGTTGACGTTTGAAGAATCTTTTCACATTACTTATTTTATCTTCTAAATGGTTTTTATTTACTTCAATTGAATTTATTTGATCCCGT